AGAGAGAGAGAGAGAGAGAGAGAGAAGTGAAACAGGGAGAAGAAAGGAAGAAGAGGCACATATACTAGTTGAGAAAAGTGGATCAGAAGGACAGATAAGGTGAAATGTAATACAGTCACCTTCAAGTGCCAGATGTGTGACAGACATTGGCGCCCCCACCCCCCTTTACCAGGGCAGTGCTACTGACTGAACTTGTCTTTAGGCCAATCTCAAAGGGGGGAGGGGGGATATTAACATGTTCTTATGCACAGTAGAATTATGCATGGGCTGATTTATCAATGGCATGCTCATACTGTACCGGGACAACATAGGATGAACTGCTGCTTTTTCTTTCCTCATCCTTACTATCGTTAATTTGTCTCTACTTCTTTTGTATGTTTGTCACTCTCTTGAGAACTGCTATTTCCGGGTTACCGTGATAGTCAAAGTAGACTTTGTGCTGTTGAGGCCTGAGAGGTGAGCAGAGTAAGCCTGATTCCCCGTTTGGACTTTCCTGTTGACATCCACCCCGTGGCACTCATATGGCCTTATGCAGTTGCGACCGCTGTAAAAACTCTATTAATTAAAACAAACGAACAAGACATTGGCGACCATGGTTTTCCTTTCATTCTCTTGTTCAGATAATCTTTAAAAAAAATATTTTAAAAAAAGCATCGCTATCCTGATCTTTTCCCCTAAGCCATCTGTTTAGTCTCTTCAAGTAAGTTACTTTCGAGCTACCCCTGCGTCGTTTCCCTTCAGTAAACATAATAGGGTTTTTATCTATTCCTGTTCGTATGTCTTCATGTCTACAGACTTCAGCCTCATCAGATGGGACTCCTCCCAGCAGTCCTGGTTATGTCACTCACGACCAACTCCATCATCAATATCACCACCAACACCACCATCAACAACAGCATCATCCTCACCAAGCCCAACATCACCAGCATATTCAGCAACTTCAACAACAACTTCAGCAACAACAACAGCAGCAGCAGCAACAACAACAACAACAAAATCAGAAGCGCTATCAAGAAAATCGACCATTCTCCTACGCTGTGGGTTTAAACCCAAAACAAGCAGCGCAGAGCCTCCATCATGCTATCAATGATGTGCAGTTGAGATCGAGAGATGCCTCCCCACATGGTGGGAGGGCCGGGGTCAAGTCTGAAGGCTCTGTTCTCAACAAGGGAGATTATCAAACCTGCATCGCTAATGACGACGATGAAGTTATCTATCGTAGAATCAATGACAACTACCAACAGGCTGAAGACTTGATGGGCACAGATAGAGGAAGAGGGGGAGGGGGAGGAGGAGGAGGAGGACGCAGTGGCAGTGTGGGAGCAGTTCCACCGCTCAATTCTCACACAGCTCAGCCGGACCCCCGTGCAGATGGCATCTACGGCACATTTGTCCAGCCCTCCCCCACCTCCCCACACCGCCCCACTCTGACCTACGTCCCTCCCCCAACAGTTCCCCCTCTGACATCAGACCACGCCCATATGGAGAACCATCATCATCGCGCTGAAAAACATAACGGAAAGCAAAATCATCACCACAACAACAACAACAACTTTAACAACAACAATAACAGTCACAATGGCCAGATGTTTTCTTACACAGCTCAGGCACAAAATCATCATCATCCAAACCAGCAGCAGTATCCCCCCTCACCCCAGCAGACGCCGTCAGATGTGTCGTACCCCCCACAATCCCCATCCTTTGCTCCAAACTCTACCACTTCTCCCCCTATCCTCCACCCTGTGTCCTCCCCAAAACTCCCTCCCATGAACCAACGAAACAAACATCGCCAGGACAATATTCCTCCCCCGCCCTCTTTCCCAGCTCCTCCCCCTCCAGTCCAACTCCACGACCGATACATGGCAAACTCTGGCAGACCCCGAACTCCATCTCCACCCCCTCCTCCACCCCTGCAAGATCCTAACTCAAGATCTCGACCAATGAGCAGAGATCAGGCACCACAGTCTCCTCGCGCAGGCCACCATCAAGTCTACCCGCCTACCCACCCACAATCTGCTGATCAGGCACGTTCCGCCTACACAATCCATCAACAACAACAGTACGACCAGGCCCCGTTGTATCAAGCCCCGCCCATTCCTGCTCAACAGCCAGTCAGACATCATCACACTCACAAAACCCCTCCCTCGCACATCCCACCCCCTCCCCCAACTGCTCCTCAAGCGCCGAGCCAACAACACTACCAGCCACACAGAGATTTGAATTCAGTCCCTGCTGGAGTCAGGTCCCCTCGGACTGCCTCTCCTTCCCGCGCTAATTTGGCAGCGGCTGTTACGAGTCCACAAAAACAGCAGCCGTCAACAGCCACGGCAGACCAGCTGGCGCAGGTCAAACTAAGGAATGTCAGTGGTAAGAAAATAGAATAGCTCTGAGAATTCAGTACGATATCCTAGACCTACACCCATTTCAACACAGGATACTAGTAGGATTTCGAGATCTCCAATTTGACGTCCTTCTCCAAAAGGTCTTTGCCAAAGAGTTACACTCATTGATGACGATGTGTATCACGAGAGTTTTCATTTCTAGAAAACGCAAGGTGTAAGTGTAATGTATATAAAATATATCCATTAATGTTTCTCTAGGGATTCAAACAAGGGCAGTTTACAGAGCAGTCTAGCTCTTCACTAACTGTTTTTAATAGTGGCGCCCTGATTAGCCTCTCGGGAATATTTCTGGTAGTTCTAGGGTTTGCTTGGGTATTTGGTACTAACAGTTGTAAAGCACTTAGGGCATGCTGTGGAGCATAGATACAGAATTTTAAAATGCAAAATTGTTATTATCATTATAGTTAGTTATTATTATTATTATTATTATTATTATTATTAAT